ACAAAAATAGTGTGAACATGAAAATAAGAAACTGCAGCATCCCTGAAGAAAACTTCTGGCTCCAGGCAGATTGTTGTTCAGTGGCGAGTGCTTCATGTTTCTTTTACAGCGTCAGGGGCACGGGTGGCCCAGTCGTCTAAGGCGCCGCGATTTGCTGTGCAGAGTTGCGTCCCTTGGGCACGCCAGAAACCTATGATTGTGGGTTCGAATCCCGGTTCGCCCCGATTATGTTTCTAGGTTTGTCAGCACCATACCCGTGCTCGTGGGTTTCACCGAAGTGGTAAACGTCTGAGACCTGCATCACTTCGGGCTTTCCTCCCACATTAAGCTGACACGCCGTGATAAAACTGGAATATTGTTAAAAGCGGCATTAAACTAAACTCACTCACTCACTCACTCTTTTACAGGGTCACTAAGTTTAGATTGCTTATAGAGTACTCAAGTGTATCCTTTATAGTCGCCCGGGTATAGGAGTATCAGTGTCAGACATGTCAAATATAGGAAGCAATTAACCTTAAAACATGCTGCCATGAGACACATTTATCTAGACTTGCTCAGAGGCTCCCGGCCCCAAGTCTGCATTAAATGTCAATAAATAAATTCCTTATTGGAATTTAAATCTCTCATTCATGTTATTATTCAAAATTGTCATGGCATTGTAGATGGGACTTGGATTTCCCTGATAACAGGACCTGAACACATGTAGCTAAAAGTACTGTCAAGTCAGTGTGGCAGCACAATTCACTCATTCTGCATTTATTAATGAAGTGATGTATGCCATCAATGTCATCTTCCCAAGGTAAGGGAGTTAACTGACTTTAAAAATCCAGTTTCCACCCTTGTGAAACTAGACTGGAATGTCCAGGCTCGATCCCAGAGCCACCAGTGGCTCTTACGAGTTATGTCCCTTCTATTTTCCCCTTCTATTGACCAATCAGATTCCATCTCTCATATCATTTGAATTTGTTTCAAACAAAATGGCAGCACCCAGTCAAGACGATCTGATTGATAATCAAGATCTATATTGTAATAAAACGGGTCTTTTTCACACAAATTACTTGAGCACCTTGATTAAAAACATGAAGAGCTTTGCAAAATATCTGTCAACGCCCAGTTGGCGGTACACATGGTTTGCATATCCTGGAGTCAACCAAAATCTGCATGATGAAATCCATGTTGTTTACGAAGCAGATGTCTAGTTCATCACACAATTTTGATTGGACCATGGACAGACTCGTTAATCCAGCCAAAATGTATCTCCTGAATTCCAGCCTAGTTTGGCAATAGTGGATACTGGACTTTATTTGTCATTGTCAGTTAATGCCCTTGCCTCGTTGAAAATGATTAATCTGAATATTTCACTGGTTCAAAAAGGATGTTGTTTGCACCTGTACTGATGATATTGTGTTTGTTTGCAGAGTGGGACAAGGTGCTTGAACAGAAAGATAAAAGTAAGTGTTTGCCGTATGCAGTTTGTAATGTTGGCATGTGTATTCACCAACATAACAACATTGTTACAATAGGGGCCATGGTGGCCAAGTCGTCTTAGGCACCACAGTTCACTGTGCAGAGTTGCGTGTCTTGGGCACACCTGAACCCTAAGTCGTGGGTTTCCCTCAATTATGTTTCTAGGTTTGTCAGTACTATACCCGTGTTGGTGGGTTTCACAAAAGTAGTAAACGTCTGAGACCTGCATCACATTGGGCTTTCCTCCCTCGTTAAGCTGACACGCCGTGATATAACTGGACCAAATTGCGTGTATCGAAGCTCATGATGTCAATCACTGGATTGTCTGGTCAAGACTCGATTATTTACAGACCGCCATCATATAGCTGGAATATTGCTGAGTGTGGCGTTAAACAACAAACAAACAAGCAAAAAGGGGCGTTAAAATAACTCACCAACTCACCATGTGTTTGTTTACATGTAAGACACTAAATGGATCCTGTGAGACTAAATGATCATTTGTCCGTTTTCAGATCCTCAAGCAGTTCAGTTTTATGATGGTCAGTAGATCACAACCACCACAAACAGTCCAAGACATGGGATCAGTTGATCATGTGATCTCTCACATCACATGTCGATCATGTGACAACAGTGAGTGGTGTTAACCACATGGGAGCTGGGAGAAAGCAGGTGTTGATGACATGGATTGAGAAGGAAGTGTTTCTCTCTGTGTTGATTGCTTCATATCTTTGCTGAAAGGGAAAACATGTAGATGAATGGAGAAAAAAAAGATGAAAAACATTTAATATTTTCTTTTGCTGTAATCTATTTTTGCGTGTGGAGAAGTGGCAGCAAAGTTTTTTGTTTTGTTCAATTTGTTTTTTAACGCAAGAAAAGCATTTACAAGAAGCTATCCCATGATTGTTTGTTGTACGGACTTGTTTTCTGTCATATGGACTTGTTTTCTGTCAAACCATGCATCTTGTAGACTTGATTTGTTTGATGTGGAGGCAGATGACCCCCATCCTTGTTATATTTATTGACTACAGACCAAACATCACCTGCGGTCAATGCACATTTTACCATTGGTGTCACACGAGTGCCACTGATTACATCTTCAACCATACATTCACTGGGCATTTAACTCCTCTGGCAGATGGACTATCTTGTGGGTCACTACTGAAGGACAAGTCTCAACCAATAATCTATCTCATTAGCGACATTCAACACAGGATGACAGAGTGTGTACACCTCAGGATATGTGCTGTAGCATCTGTCTGCGTAGATGTGTGTGTAGTAGTCCTGTCCATGCTGCTGCTGCTGCTGCCGCCGCCACCGCTGCATTTGGATCAGCTTCAGAACTATGTCTGCCCACAGGAATACTACCACCTATTCTATCACTGCTCCAGGAGTCATAAGTATAAAGCCTCAAGCCTGGGACAAGCATTTTCCCACTTGTGACGTCTTCGTGAAACTAGGATCGAATGTTTTTGTGACAAAGATGACGCGACATTATCGTCAGGCAGGCATTTATGTTGAGAACCGATTTGAAACAGCACAAGCAAGTCTATTGTTTTACCAACCCAATCTTATCTTTAGTCCGAGAGAAGAATATGTGAGTCTTGCTAAAGTGCGTACCTTCCACCATTGAGTTCCGTTCTCCATCTCCGTGCCTTTATGTTCCGTTGACTGTCCTATCTGCTGCTGCTGCTGCTGCCGCCGCTGCTGCTGCCGCCGCTGCCAGCTCCGTCATCAAAACCTGCAAGGCCAGTGATAAACTTTCAAGATGGCCGACACCCGAGGGACACCTATTTCTAAAGTATCTCTTCTCTCGCGACGTGTACGCTTTACATCTACGGTGCTAACATGGACGCTAGCCATTGACTGTGATACCAGAGATCAACTCTTTTTGGACGTACGTGACGACTTGTATGTGAACACTGGTGTTTTCTACTTCCTGTGCGATGATTCTTGGAGAGATGTGAGTGTGCAGTTCAGGCAGCAGCCTCCACTAGCCTGTGTCTGCCCGCACCACTGACAGGTGTGTCTGTCTGTCCGTGTCTTACACCACCATTCGTGTGCAGTTTGTGTTGAAATACCCTGGTCTGTGATGAGAGGCAAGCTGTGTTGTTGCCCTATTTGTGTTGTCAATGTATAGTACATACATCTGTGATCCAACTCGGTAGATGAGGATTCAAAAGAGGATACAAAACGTGAACTAGCCACCTGCCCACAACCGTAGATTCCTTAGAGGAGAGTACCTGTTAGACTGCATGACAACTAACTGCCTGGTAGTAGCTGTGTGTGATTAAAGCAGCTGGGCATTCGAGCTGGACAGGAAACTGTCCTCATCCATTTGTAGAGCAAGCTACCACTGCCTGGCACATTGAAGCTAGTTGTCATCTAATAGTATTTGCTGCAGAGAGTGCGCATCCACCCAATGTCGTGTGTCCATGTTGAACATGTCTGTCAGTCTCCAGACCTGGATAGAATCCCGGCCCAAGTCCGGAAACGGGTCCAAGGCCTGACAGAGTGAAGTGTACATTTGTATCATAACCAGAGCTATTACGGCTTGTAGACAATAATTTGACTGTTATTTAAGAAACAATCCAAAAATTGAAAATCATTCCGTGTGATGCTGTAAGCATGTAGGAACCGTGGGGTCTATGAGGGAGGGTTTATGCTGTGAGAACAGTTCAAAGAAATAACATTATTTCCATAGGACTTTTTTGTCGGAATCTATGCGTTTATACCATACATCAGTGTGCGCCATCAGGACCTGTGATGTTATTTCCAGTAATCTTTGTTTACAAAATGCTTTAAAAAAAAAATCATCAACAAAAGCAATGACGCTGATGAAAAGTTTTTTTCCAGATTTCAAACTGATAACAATTTTGTGCTGAACCAGCAAAAATGTCAAAGTCATTCTGTATGTTTTCTACTGGTGACTTCGAGTTTTCTACAAAAGTCAACTCAAAATTGGAGGGGAAGGAGAACCAACCGTCGTAAGTCAACTTGGATGGCCTGAGCCATGTGTTGACTGAGAGGCTGGGGCAACCATAACATGAGATGTGCCCAAGTGCATATCGTGGGTATCTGTAGTGATGTGGTAACCTGTGAAACGTTGTACGTTGCAAGAAAGATGAAGAGACTGTTACATGGTTTCAGGGTGGGCTGTAGTCTTCTATTGCACAAAACAGCCATTTTAGTAGATTAGATATTTATTTTATAACTATTTAATTAACATGTGACCTATTTGGTGTCTGTGCTTTGATTATATTTCCCATTTAATCAGTTTGAATATTTTGGCATAATCTTGAGATTTGAATGTATTTAAATTGATTGATTGACAGTAATATTTTTCATCATGGAATGCCATGTCATCAAGCATCAAGATCCGGCCAAAACGGTTGCAATCATGTCTGTCATTTTAGTATCTTTTATGAGAATAATAATTGTGTATGTGCAACTTTAAAGACTACAGCTTACTCTGGCTATTCAGAACTGTTAAAAAATTGTTATGGTGAGATATAAAATAAACAGCTTCTGTTTCAGTGATCTTCTGTGTTCTTTAACTCATCAGAGCTGGGATTGATATGGGCAAGATTCTTCAGTATGTCCGTGGTAAATGTCTATAAGGCCTGCATCACTTTGTGCTTTCCGCCCACATGGAGCCGACATGCTGTGATATTGCTGAAATACTGTTCAAAGTGGGGTGTCCATTCACTCGGGTCATAATTTAGAATACTTGATAACCTTTTTTGACCCTCCTTGGAAATGGGTGGCCCAGTTGTGTAAGGTGCTGCCAGGATTCTGCTAGTTTGAATCCCGATTTGCCCACATCAAGCTGACACGCCATGATATGACTAAAGTTATGTTAAAAGTGGTGAAAACCGCTCACTCTTTAGTTTTATCCCACATTAAGCAGAGATACTGTGAGAGCAACTTGAACCTACCAGATTTTCTCTATTAGATGGGCATCTATTAATTTCATTCAAGACATTGTATTCTGTTTACTGTTTACATCGGAAACTTATGACCCTACTGAGTCCCAAAGTCTCCAGTCCTACAAAGGGTTGGTTGGTTGGTTTGTTGTTTAACGCCGAACTCAGCAATATTCCAGCTATATGACGGCGGTCTGTAAATAATCGAGTCTGGACCAGACAATCCAGTGATTAATATCATGAGCATCAATCCACGCAATTGGGATCGATGACATGCATCAACCAAGTCAGTGAGCCTGACCACCCGATCCCGTTAGTCGCCTTTTACGACAAGCAGAGTCGCCTTTTACGACAAGCATAGTCACCTTTTACGGCAAGCATGGGTTGCTGAAGACCTATTCTACCCCGAACCTTCACGGGCCTCATAGGTAGGAGATGGCCAGACAATCTTCCCGTATCTTTAAATTGTCTTTCAAACCTATTCTACCCCGGAATCTTCACAGGGTACATTTGCAGGAAACAGTCATTATTAATGGAAGGGAGTAATCATTTCATACCATAAGTTAATGTGATAGGGATTATTATACCCAGCCACGAAGTGGAAGGGGGATATAGGAATAGGTGCTGTTCATCTGTCTTTCCGTCCGTGCATCCATCACGTTTTGTTTCCGGAGCAGAACTCAAAAACTGAGAGAGATATATCTTAACCAAACTTGACACATAGATAGGTCTAGTGGTGAACTGGTGCCTTTTGATAGTTTGGGATTTTTTAAATATTTATTTTTCGAGTTTCCATGGCAACGACTTTGAATGAAAATGGTGGTAGTGCTCCACACAACCAGCCATGTCATTTTGGCAGAGGGTATGAGTATTTCATGCTTGTTAATTTTATCGAATGATGAACCCAACGTCTTTAGGTTGGCTTCTATTTTAAGACAGAGCCTGTGATCTGACTCCAATTAAAGGCTGATGTGTATTGGAGCCCCGGCTTCTAATAGAGGAAATATGGTAACTCTCTCATTCTTGCTTGGGGCGGTCGGGTAGCCTAGTGGTTAAAGCGTTCGCTCGTCATGCCAAAGACCTGGGTTCGATTCCCGACATGGGTACAATGTGTGAAGCCCATTTCTGGTGTCCCCCGCCGTGATATTGCTGGAATATTGCTAAAAGCGGTGTAAAACATACTCACTCACTCACTCACTCTCACTCTTGCTTTCAGAGAGTTTTGTGTAGTTAGCAGTTGGCATGGAGTATTCCATAATGAGAATGCTCTTTGAAAGCTACAGCATTATCTGTCAAAAACTCCATAATTCCCCAAACAATATGTTTGCAGTGTATATTCTAGTGTTATCCCATACTCCATGTGTCACAGTGTGTTTGTACACAGCGGCTGAAGGAGATCTCGCCATCACAAGGACATCAAACAGTGGACATGCTGCCATGGCAACCAAATAAATGAGAATATGTAGAGAAATACAAAAAAGAGACTTATTGACACATTAGAATTTAATTGATCACAATATTCTTGCCGACTTGTTCAATACCATGTATTTCACCTTGGGAGTAAGGAAAACATGACTTCCTGTGAACGGCTGTGATTAAATGAAGTCCAGTTAAGCAGCCAGATGTTCACCAGATTGCCACACAATACCTGTCTCAAAATAGACACAAGTTATGGATAACAGCTTCTTGAACATACTGTTGTAGCAACGTTTCGAAATAGATCTTTATGCCATTGTAAAGCATGACAGCCATGATATAAGGATTTATACCGAATCGCTAAACATTAAGTGTCTACTTTGTCATCCCTCAACTTCTAAGAAATGTCTGCCTCACAATCAACCGCCTCCATTGTCTAGTGGTAGAGTGTCTGCTCTGAGAGCGGAAGGCCCAGGTCTGATGCCTTGGCTTTGTCATACCAAAAGATATTTTTAAGAAAATGGTACTTATTGTTACCCTGTCTGGTGCTCTGAATTAAGGGTCTAACACAAGGACAGGTCGACTAAGAGCCACTATACTGTGTCAGTGTTGGGTATCCATGTTAAGCTGCATCATGGTATCTCAGTGGGCTAGCACTATAAAATCGGCATTCACACTCACACACACACGCACATGCACACATCCATGTGGCTGTGAACATGCAATAATCTTGAACGCTGTAAAACTCCATTTTACCTCGCCTATGACACAATAACAGTTAGCAGTTTTTTGGGTTTAAAAGAAATTACTACTGGTATATTAACACCAACACTTAACCCACCAAGGAGTTAGTGAGTGAGTCGGGTTTAACGCCGCTCTTAACAGTATTCCAGTTATATCACTGCCTGTCAGCTTCATGTGGGAGGAAAGCCCGAAGTGATGCAGGTCTCAGACGTTTTCCACTTCGGTGAAACCCACGAGCACGGGTATGGTGCTGACAAACCTAGAAACATAATTGGGGCGAACCGGGATTGGAACCCACAATCATAGGTTTCTGGTGTGCCCAAGAGTCGCAAATCTGCACAGCGAATCGCGGCGCTTTAGACGACTGGGCCACCCGTGCCCCCACCCACCAAGGAACATTTTGAAGGCCATGCAAGGTGTTACGGTCTTATACATAGTCGAACATCGCAAACCCTAAAGTGGGAAAATCAGTAATTTTAGTCCTGAAACATTCAGGTCAATTACACTGTAGGTCAATATTACACTGAAGATTCTGTCAGATATATCACTGCCAGCTGGATGTGGCCTGAAGTGATGCATACAAGGCCTGAAGTGATGCAGTTGTAGGCTCATCACTTGGATGAAACTGAGAAGCCTGTTTGTGCTGACAAACCAATGATCTCAATAGGGAATCAACACACTACCATCAGATCCTGCCACAAAGAGGGATGCAAGGCTTGACAGTGCTCCCCAACATGGAACAATATAAAAACAAATGCATCACAACTTGCACAACAGTAAGCTGGCACTGATCTCTATTCCTGGAATGTGCAGTTGTGTAGGTCTTCAACATATGTGAAAAGTTGTTTGTGTCCAGGCAATCTCATTAAAATCAGATCTTCGTTTTCGCTACCGCTAAACAAAGATCTGAGGACATCCCATTACGGGTCACATCAGAACGACCTTTCGCGAATTTTGAATGAAATCGACAGTAGCCAATCAGAAGGCAGCTTTCTCGAGCTTTAGGACACTTGTTTCAAACTGGCGACTATGCTTCGAAACATATTTTTACGTATTCTCGATTAAAAAAATAAAACTGATGAGAAGAACATTCTGGAATGGCTAAAAGATGGCCTAGATTGTATGGATATAAGCATAAAACCCGTAACTGTCGTTCGGAATACCCGGTGTTAAATATTTCGTGGTTGCATGATAAGAAAACACATTCCGACTGTCACTTTCATGATCTGGTGAGCGACATTCTGATTGGTTGGATGAAAGGTCGTTCTGACGTGACCCTTAATGGGATGTCCTCAGATCTTTGTTTAGTATATCGAGAACTAAGATCTGATTTAAATGAGATTGGTGTCCAGGTGATGGACCCCATCTTCAAGGGTTCAGGGTATTATATCTTTAGTCTGTTAGGATAACTTCTCTGGTCCGTAAACCACACTAGCTTTGTCATTAGAATTGTCACAATCTCAAGGAGGAAGGGTTGGTGCTGCTGTTTGCTGTGCAGAGTTGTGTCCCTTGGGTACTTCAGAAACCTATGGCCGTGTGTTTGAATCCTAGTTCGCCCCTGTGTTCAAATGGCATTAAACCCAACTCAATCACTCACTCACTTTAGCTAACAACAATGTGGGGATTCTGGGTTACATTTAATCCCCTGCAACCTATGCTGGTCACGATGTAATGAGTCGGGTGGTCAGATTCCTTGCCTTAGTTGATTGCGTGTCATACCCTGAGGCGACTCTGCTTGTAAAAGGCGACTAACGGAATCGGGTGGTCAGGCTCGCTGACTTGGTTGATGCATGTCATCAATCCCAATTGCGTGGATCGATGCTCATGATTTCAATCACTGGATTGTCTGGTCTAGACTCAATTATTTACATACTGCCATCACATAGCTGGAATATTGCTGAGTGCGGCGTTAAACAACAAACAAAACAAAAATACACAAATCATACCCTGATGGTGTTCACAATATTATCGATTTTCTGTTCCAGACTCAATTATTTACAGGCTGCTGTCAAATAGCTCGAATATTTCCGAGTGCGGCATTAAACAATAAATAAAACGCCAAAGATACCAGTAGGACACTATTGTCAAAGATCTATAAATAGTTTTTACGTATATTCACTGCATGATTTATTCTGACAATTGGTCTTTGTGCAAATAAGCAGGACTGACATTATTAAGTATTTTGGATTATTTATGACCACCTGTTTGAAACAGAAACGTTTCCATGACAATCAACGATGAATGTTTCAGCGCTTGTCTTTGACAAATGTCAAGCTATGCTCCATGTCTATTGCCAAGATACTGTCATACTTTATACAGAGTTGCGTCCCTTAGCGATGACAGGGTCCTCTGTTATGGAGCCTGATCCCAGATGCTCGGGGCGGTCGGGTAGCGTAGTGGTTAAAGCGTTCGCTCGTCACGCCGAAGACCCGGGTTCGATTCCCGACATG